TTTTTCTCCGGTACCGGGAACTGAACTCACGACCTTGCGCTTGCCAGGCAGGCGCTTTGCCGCTGAGCTAAATCCCCAGCGCCCCCAGCCCCCTTTTTATAGAATAAGAAAGGACCTGCAGGTTGTGGGGTGAGTTCAGTAATGACTGAAAATAGTACAACCAGGGCTGGGGGTATAGCTCAGCGGCACAAGCGCCTGCCTGGCAAGTGTGAGGTCCTGAGTTCGATTCCCGGTACCAAAACAAAAAAAAAAAAGAAGCTTCCATGAAAATAATACAACCTTTAGTGGGTAATTTCTCTGTGAAATGGAGAAAAACCACATTCCAAGACAAGCCAGCTCTCTCACAGGGCCAAAGACAAGGCAGAGTGTTGGGGTGCGGACTCCAGCGCACACAGAGACCCACAGAAGAGGGGACACCGCAGAGAGACCCAGACAGAGAACCAACTCCAGGGAGGCGGGAGAAAGGAACCAAGGGCGAGAGGAAGGCAGAGATCAGGGAAACGGACAGATACCCAGGGGAGAGGACAGAGACCTAGAGGGAGGGGACAGACATGGTTGCCTGGTTCCTCTCCTTTAAACACTTATCCCTGTCCCCCCTTGGGGACTGGAAGCTACAGAATCCCCTTGTTTGGGAGCAGGCTGTGTGCCTGGTGGGAAGACGGAAGAGATCAGAGAGGTGACCGGAAGGGACACCCAAGCCTGGGAAGCTTGCTTTCCGCACCTCCCATAAACAACTGGAGCTGCCTTCTGTGCAGCCTTGGCTGGGATGGGAAGGAGAGGGGAACACCCTAATCCAGGGACACCCTTCCTGCCACCTTGCCATGCTATATTTAGGTGGGGGTGGAGGGGGTGCCCAGTGACCCCCAAGGCAGGTGTCAGCTTTCCTGCTAAAAATAGCTCAGGAGGAGGGGAGCCCTTCTCAGGGTGGAGGTGTGGTAGGGTGAAGGGCCCTGCCAGCCATGGGGCTTCCCCAGGACTCTAGGCCGTCTCATCTCTTTCTCAGGGTCTCTGGGGCACTACCCCTCTTGCTAAGGTGCAGTCCCCCCCATTTTTGTTTTTTGAGACAGGGTCTCACTATGTAGTCCAGGCTGCCCTTGAACTGTGGCAATCCTCCTGCCTCAGCCTCCCAGATGCTGGGATTACAGGCGTGTGCCACCATGTCCTGGTTCAGCCCCCCTTCTTGTGATGTCTTCTGTCTAGGTCTCCACCCCTTTTTTCTCATGGTCTCCGTCCCCTTTCCTCTGCTTCTGTGCCTTCTCCTCCCCCTGGGTCTGTCACTGTTCACAAATTCCCCAGACACTCTGTCCTTAAACACCATCCTCGTGTCTGAGTCCTGTAACACCTTGGGTTTCTTTCATCTGAGCTCAGGACAAGATCCCCAACTCAGCCCCTACCCAGGAAATTCCAGGAGAGAGGACTCTGGGAGAGTCCCCCATCCACTGTCTCTGGGCTGCGGGCGGCCTTATCGCTGCCCAAGCCCAGCTGGTTAATGTCTGGCGGGAGCTCCTGGGAAAGCGGGGATGAGAGCGGAGGGTGGGAATCTGCCCCGGGATTGACACTGAATTGGCAAAAGACTCCATGCGAGTCTCAGGACTCCTGAGTCCAAGGGAGGAGGGGCGGGGGAACCTGGACCCCGGGTCTGAGGGAGGAGGCTTCGGGATCCGGGCCCGGGGTCCGAGGGAGGAGGGCTGCCCGACCCAGGCTGGGCGCCGGCTTCCGCGGGCCGGCGGCGCGTGCAG